TCTCTCTCTCTCCTCTTTTTGTGCATCATATACTCAAAAGTTCACATGGTTGTTCATTGTATGCTCTCCAACGTTGGCAGAAGTCCACAATGGTGTTGATTTATGTTTACATTGCCTAATGCACACATTATGTTCCACACAGTCGTGGATTGCACCCTCTCTCTCTCTCTGTCTTTCAAAGGTTGGAAGTCCACTACCGTGTAGCTTTTGGTGCACAATGTGATCCGTATCTTATCCAGCCAACATGGTCATGAATCGCACATGTGTTCGAACATGGGAGAAAGTTCACGGCTGTGTGACATTTTATAGTCAACAAGAACATTATGTTTCAGAAGTCCACGTTGTCATAGATTGCACCCCTCTCTCTCTCTCTCTCTCTCTCTCTCTCTCTCTCTCCAACGCGGGAAGAAGTCGACGACCGTGTAGGTTTTTGTACACAATGTTTACAATCTGTNTCTCTCTCTCTCTCTCTCTCCAACGCGGGAAGAAGTCGACGACCGTGTAGGTTTTTGTACACAATGTTTACAATCTGTTAAAATTCTCACACGGTCGTGGACTGTATCCTCTCTCCAATGTAGAAAGAAGTCCACGATCGTGTTTCTTTGTGTATACATTGCGAAAACTATGCAACAAAAGGTCACGCAGCCACGAACTGATCTCTCTCTCTCTCTCTCTCTCTCTCTCTCTCTCTCTCTCTCTCTCCTCCATGCGGGAAGAAGTCGACGACCGTGTAGGTTTTTGTACACAATGTTTGCAATCTGTTAAAATTATCACAAGGTCGTGGACTGTATCCTCTCTCCAATGTAGAAAGAAGTCCACGATCGTGTTTCTTTGTGTATACATTGCGAAAACTATGCAACAAAAGCCCACGCAGCCGTCGATTGCTCTCTCTCTCTCTCTCTCTCTCTCTCTCTCTCCAAGATGGGAAGAAGTCCACACCCGTGTTGCTTTTTGTACTTAATGTGATCCATATATTGAAAAGCTCACACGATTGTGGATTGTATCCTCTCTCCAATGTGGGAAGAAGTCCACGACCCCGTCCCCGTGGCTTTTTGTACACGAGGCGAAGACTATGTTCCAAAAAGATGCACAACGATGGACTGCACCTCTCTCTCTCTCTCTCTCTCTCTCTCTCTCTCTCTCTCTCGCGCGCGCGCGCGCTCTATTGCTCTCTCTCTCTCCTTTTTTTGTGCATCATATATTCAGCAGTTCACATGGTTGTTCATTGTATGCTCTCCAACATTGGCAGAAGTCCACAATGGTGCTGATTTATGTTTTCATTGCCTAATGCACACATTATGTTCCACGGAGTCGTGGATTGCACCCTTTCTCTCTCTCTATCTTTCTAAGGTTGGAAGTCCACTACCGTGTAGCTTTTGGTGCACAATGTGAACCGTATCTTATCCTGCCAACATGGTCATGAACTGCACATGTGTAAGAACATGGAAGAAAGTTCACGACTGTGTGACATTTTGTAGTCAACAAGAACATTATGTTTCAGAAGTCCACGTTGTCATAGATTGCACCCCTCTCTCTCCCTGTCTCTTTCTCTATTTGACTCTCTCGCTCTCTATTTATCTGTCTCTATCTCTCTCTCTAAGGTTGAAAGAACAATAGTGTTATCCAGCTTACACGGTCGTGAACTGGACAAGTGTTTGAACATGGGAGAAAGTTCACGATTGTGTGACGTTATAATCAACGAGAACACTATGTTTCAAAAGACCACATTGTCGTAGAATGTACTCTCTTTCTCCCTCTCTCTCTCTCTCTCTCTCTCTCTCTTTATTTGTTTGTCTCTCTCTCTCTCTCTCTCACAACAGTCGTTTGTTGCTTCGACATCTACCGATTGTGTCTGTCTATCTTTTAAGTTTGGAAGAAATTCATTACTGTGTAGCTTTTTGTGCATAATGTGAACCGTGTGTTATCAAACTCTCACGATCGTAATTGCATAGGTGTTCGAACATGGGAAGAAGTTCATTACTGCATGACATTTTGTAATCAATGAGAACACCATGTTTGAAAAGGTCACGCAGTCATAGACTGCACCCTCTATTTTCCTCTTTTTCTCTCTGTTTGTCTCTCTCTCTCTCTCTCTCTCTCTCTCTCTCTTCAAGGTGGGAAGAAGTTTGTGACTGTATAGCTGTTTGTATACAATGTGAACCGTATTTTCAAAAGTTCACACGGTCGTGGACTGCACCCTCTCTCGAACCTTGGAAGAAGTCCACAACCGCGTGACTTTTTGTAAGCAAGGTGAAAATTATGTTCTAAACAGACGCACAGTCGTGGATTGCACCTCTCTCTCTCTCTGTGTCTTCCTGTCTGTCTGTCTCTCTCTCTCTCTTTTTTTTTTTTTTTTTCCCTCTCTCTCTCTCTCTCTCTCTCTCTCTCTCTCTCTCTTTCTCTCTCACACACACACACTTTCTTTAAGGTGAATAGAAGTCCACGATTGTGTAACTATTTGTATACAATGTGAACCATATTGACAAAAGTTCACACGATCGTGGACTGCAACCTCTCTCCAACCTTGGAAGAAGTCCACAGCCACGTGACTTTTTGTAAACAAGGTAAAAATTATGTTTTAAATAGACGCACAGTCGTGGATTGCACCTCTCTCTTTCATTCTTAGAGTTCTTTTTTTAAATAAGTATAGTGTGAAAATAATAAATATATAGATATATGTAAATACTGGGATACCAACCTAATGGCATACATCACTTTGAGTGAATGAAGGATCTAGTCGTGCAAGAGTCTGCACCACTTCGGCTAAATGAGGAATCAGATCGTGCAAGGGCTATAAATAAAGGATCCAATCACACATTGACCTGGTCGCTCAAGAAACACACAACCTTACAGCCTACACCACCTTATCTAAGAGAGAAAGGTTATTAGTTGTGGCAAGCAAATGTAGAATGAACTCTGAATACTATCCAAGAGGAAACTTTTTCATACGGTTCAGTCAAGTTTTTCTGATGTACGATATATATTTGAATTAGGGGAATCAACCTTCGGATGAGATGGTACAAGTTCGTTGAACATAATGTTACAACCCTTCATTTTTTGTCCTCTTCTTCATTACCTACAGTTTACCAAGTAATTTTCAATGATGATATATATATATACATACAAATACATGATACATATATCTATTACACATATATATAAATATATTTATTATGCTTCACCATTTTTTTTTTGTCACCTCAGATTCATATTGATCAACAACAGATCAACTGTTTTTCAACAACGGATCTTCAAAATTTCAACAATAGTTCAACGTTGATCATGCTATTGAAATCTGTGACGTCCCTAGATTGACCGATGACCGAACGTTGATTTACTTGGATTCTTGATGGAACGAGGGAACCCTTGTGGAATAACAATAGAAAAGTTGTTGATCTTTTGAAGAAATTCGAGATGAAATACGATAAATATTGCTTGAAAACCAGCCATATTTTTTATGTTGGAGTCATGGAGACTGTGAGGGACCTACAACAAGGAATGGAGACGATGGCGGAACTACAACAGGGGGGCGATGATTGGCTGGCTACCATGAAGATGGGATGTCAGCGGCTGCAGGCGGTCGTGGGGGTTTTGTTGTTTCAGATGCAGAAGGGGTTGGTGGTCGATGGGGGTGCAATGACACTGGGTGAGTGGTTGGACGCCCACACTCTAAATATGTTGGATATCCTGTGGGAGCTGGAGGAGGGGCCGGATCCCCAATTTGATGACTATATGGATTGGAGACGGGTGGAGGCACGGATGGGAGTCTGCCAGGCTCTATTTCGGGAGGGACGTGATCTGCGTTATCAGATGGAGGATGGACTGGAGATGGATGACACAGGGGTAGATGGGGAGCGACCTCTATGTCATCTCGATGACACAGTGGGAGATGGGGAGCTACTCGACTACAGCTTTGGGACAATGAGTGAAAGCGACAATCATCGACGATTGGACGAAGATAGCAATTACACTAGCGACGTGATTGACCTTACCATCGCAACATCAGCGCCGAAGATGGAGGATCGACTGGAGATGGATGACACAGGGGTAGATGGGGAACTACCTCTATGTCATCTCGATGACACAGTGAGAGATGGAGAGTTACTCGACTGCAGCTTTGGGATAATGGGTGGAAGCGACAATCATCAGCGATTGAACGAAGATAGCAATTACACTAGCGACGTCATTGACCTTACCATCGCAACATCAACACCGACAGTTTGCATCACAACGGTATCGAATATCGCACAAGCTTTTGGTGGCGAGATGGACGCCAGTATCTCATCAACAACAACAACCATCTTATCACGATGGCCAGGTCAGCAGGTCAAGGCCACGTGGGGCTATTTGTCGGGAATGGTGAGCCGGGGGAGGGGTGTGTGCTTCGTTTTGGCTTTTTCTCGGGTGGGGATAGGATAGTACTTGGGTGGCAGTGGGGGTGGTATTTAGTTCGTCGATGGCGAGCCTACCCAATTTCGTGACATGCTTAGTCGGTTTGGTCATATCTTGTATTGTTTCGCTCGTACAGACTGCTCGACTGTCATCATATTGTTTCGACACATGATGTTGCGGTTCATATTACTTAGATTTTCTGGTTGCATGGTGAATAGCCTATCTCATTAGGATATATACCTAGCTGATTTGATCATGGTTTGGATTGGTCTATTGTTTACACACTGATGACTGACTATTACAACGTTTATATACATGACGATATGGTTTACCTGATGTAGATTTCGCGGGTAGATCCAATATTGAATGTTTATCACCACATGGCTACCTAACAAAACGCTGTGTCGATATGGTTGCTCTCGTCAGGGCATTCAAAACAGTTGAGTACAAATCTTTTTTTTTTTTTTTTTTTTTTTTTCAAAACACAACTGAAGTCATTAGGAATGGTGATAAGAGCATTCATTCCTAATTACCCAGTTGAGACTTCAGTCTATTGGTGGGGAGTATCACCTGCTGAAAACCGGGTTCAGCATCCCTTATACATAAAAAATGTCAAGTGATGCAACTTGATAAGAGTTCAAAAGAATCTTAACCACCTCTTCAGTCCTGAACAGACCGCCATATAGAACATTCCCCTCTAGTAGTTCTAATCCTCATAATGATGATTAATCATTCTTCATTATCCGACCCCCCTCCACCAACCATTGAGGTTCTACTAAAGCTAACTCTGAGGGAGGGAACAATTCAAAAAAACATGCAGCATCTCTGCGGAATTCCCCTGGCTGAATATCAAACCAGTCATTAAAATGTAGCAAGTGATTTTTTTTGAGAGGCATCACAGACTCATTCTCATCAGGCCATACCACTTGTCCAATTCCTTGCTCCTGAGGACCCCCTAGCCAGTCCATTGTGAATTTGAGAATAAATTTTTGGATGTTTTTTTTCTGAGTTAGAGACTTTAATTTAATTTTAATAGTAGCCCATTGAGCCCTGATTTCTGTTTCCACAAATTGTTTGATATTCTGAGAACATTTCTTCCCTTCCATACTTACCTCCTCCATTACATACACACACCTTCGTTGTCATATGGCCCATATGATAGCTTTCCCTCCAAGACAAAATAGATTTGACTGAAAGGTGGAGAGGGACAGATCATCCGTATTCCATTGTCCTAGTAAAAGAGCTCTCCATTCCCAAGGCCACTCAATGCCCATTAATCTTTGCCAAATACAATCCCAACGTCGCTACATAAGGATGAACCTTGGACACTCAGTAAAAATGTGTTCAATCGTTTCTCTATACTTACGTGAGGGGAACGACATGTGACAAGATTGACACCATGGTAACGCCAAACCCCTCTGCTCCAGTGTTGAGGGATCTATCAACCAATCATTGCTAGCCAAACATCTATGCATAATGTCCCACTGAAGTGAAACAAATTTGGCTCGTCTTTCCTTAGTGGACCGAAACCATCGTACTGTTCTACACTGGTCTATATGAATGTTGAGATGTTTTACCCATCTATCTTGCACAATCGCTGGAGCATCGACTTTGGGTCTCAACATTCGATAGGCTGCCTTGACAGTCAGAGATTGAAGTGTCATGTGTTTACCTCTCTTCGAAAGCTTCCATGTCCATTCCTCAAGGTTAAGAGGAAGTTCTGCTATTGGGATTTTCGGATAGTAGGTCCGCCATTGAGTCAGTGTTGTGTGATTAGTTGTGTGATTAATCATTGTATGAAGTAGGACCCTAATCCTGTATATCATTTTGTTGGGCACCCACTCCAGTCTGTCTGGATCATACCTAGCCAAAATCATACCTAGCCAAAAAAAAATTATGTTGTAAACGGAAAATATTTACCATTGCTCCATCCTGATGTTGGCACACAACCTGACCTATTATCCATTCATTGTGTGAATCACATCCCGCCACCCAAGCTGACTCCTGTAGGCGGTATCCTTTTCTTAGCCTTTTGCCCCAGGCCAGAGGAATGAAAAAAAATATTTGATCCAACATTTCAGGTAGGTGGTGAGCATATTTGAGCGTGAATTTAAGTTGCTCTATAAACTTCCAATTTTTAACCGCTGGATCCCATATATCTTTGATCCTCAGGACTCCCCTTTTAACCCAGGTTGACCATGGAGGTGAAGAACTATTGTAAACACTCCCATTGCTGTCTGTGATCCATCTATTGCCAAAAAGCGGTTGTCTTAACACTTCCTCATATCTTGATGGGATTTCTGGGAATGAAAGTTTTCTTCAGGTTTTGATAAGAGAACCCCAAACGTTATCCTGACAGATCGTTTCCCCCTCCATCCCTTCCTCATGTGTATGTAGGTTTCCTCTTGGAATGGACCAATAACGATTTTCTATCCATGTAAGTGGATTAATCCCCTCAATTGTAGATGGCGCCAAATGCCGTATTTGCTCTAGGGTCATTGGTAGCCAGGAATCCTCTGGTGAAAAAATCAGTGATTCAATCCATTGAAGAGACAATGCCTGACATTGTAAAGATGGATCTAATATACCTAATCCCCCTTTCGATTTAGGCTGAATAAGCGTAAGCCATGCTACCCTTGGAATTAATTTTTGAGTTTCATGATTTTCCCTCCAGAGAAATGATATAAAAAACTTTTTCAATGTCTTTGTTGTTGTCCTGGAGAGTGACCAGATTGCAGACTTGTACCAAATGGATGCTAGTACTGTAACAACATTATTGATGATTAAAAACCTTCCAAATAAAGAAGTATGTTGATTTTTTCATTGGGACATTTTTTCAAGCGCAGGTTTTGTTATCCAATCATCATTTGTAGTGCGTCTCCTTAGAGTAGTAGGAGAAACACCCAAGACCCGAATAAGGGTTTCTAGGGATAACCATTTTACCCTAGGTTGTCCAGGTGGTCTGACTCCATTGGAGTGCACCCACCAACCCTGTGTCTTGCTACCCCAATTAACCACCATATCTGATACTGAAGTAAATTTATCCATTAAAACCTTGATCTCCATCATATTAGTTATTGATGCTTCCATTATAAGAGTGAGGTCATTTGCAAACATCGAGCTAACAGGAATGACTTCCTCTGGAATCCTAGTGATTTGTAGCCTTTTTAAATTGTGACGACTTCGAAGATTTGCTCCCAAGGCTTCCATAATTATAAGGAAAAGAAAGGGCGTCAAAGGATCCGCCTGACGCACCGATCTTTGTAATTTGATTTCTGGAGAAAGTAACCCATTAACTTGAACTCTAGTAGTAGCATTATAGTGTAGTATACTAATCCATTAACGCAAAACAGACCCAAAGTTCATTTTTGCCAAACAAGCATCCAAGAATCTTCAGTCCACATGGTCGTAGGCTTTCTCAAAATGTATAACGATAACTGCTACATTTTGACGGGACTGACGAGTCAATTTAATCATCTCATTAATCAAAATTATATTGTCTTGTATATGGCGTCCCTCTATGAACCCTTTTTGCGAGGGATGAATGATTTCTGGCATAATCGGGATCATTCTATTTGCTATAGCCTTAACTATCATCTTATAGACAACAATTAACAATGTGATTGGCCTGTAATTTCTAATATTAGTCTTGTCCCCTTTTTTTATAGAGGAGAGTGATAATTCCTTGTCAACTAACTTCTCTCATATATCCTGCGTTTTGAACTAAATTATAAAATTTCATTAGATCATTTGAAAAATCGGTCACATTGATTTCCAAAATTCTTTAGGAAATCCATCAATACCCGGGGTTTTATCCTTTTTCATTTGAAGCAAGACTCTCCGGATTTCCTCTTTTGAAATTGGTTTCTCCAGTGCGTCTTTTTGTTCTTGTGAAAGAGTTTTCGTTAGGGGAATCAGAAAGTCAGCTATCTCTTTACGATCCTCAATTGCATCACGAGAGTTTTGGGTGATGTAAAAATACCTTAGAAGAAATCATAAACTGTTTCAAGACTTCCTGCTGAGGAAATGAGATTATCGATATGGGCAGGAATGATGGGTCTATCAACCCTTCTATAACTGCCCTTCTGACCCTAGATTTGGCCATAGCAAAGAAAGTCGTATCCATTTGTCCTTCAGTTTGATGCTTGGTTAGTTTCTCTCTAATAAGATACTATTGCCAATGATGTTGTGCAAAGGAGAGAAGTTGATTCCTTAAGCTACTGATATCGGTTTGTTGTTGTTGATTGGACTCTGAATCATGAAGCTCATAATGCATAATCTGCTCTTGAATTTGTATCTCTTTTTGATATATTTCCTTTGCCAGAAGTTTTGAATAATCCTGACATTTCCGAACCACAAAGGCTAAACCATTATTAAACCATTCAATGGGAGAATCATGTTGAAGCTTAGTTGATTGCCAGAATTTTTATATATCTTGCACGAACTGTCTGAATCGAGGAATAGACAACAACGACGTATTCAACTTATAAAACCATTTCCCCTCGTCCGACTTTTTACGAAAAAATAATAGTATCGCACACATTTTGTGATCCGCTCCAGGCCAAGGACTCTGAGGGAAAATAGTTGCCCCCTTAAGGGCCCTTTCTAGGTCTTCTGAAAGTAAGATCAAGTCTATGCGTGACCTATATATAGTTGCGGAACCCCCATGACGTATACATGTGAAAATCCTTTCCTGAGGATGAAAACGTCTAAAAAAATCAAAAAGACCCTCAGACTCACATAATCTACTGATTATATTCTCATATTCCTCAATATACCCAGGACAGGGAGTGAGGATCTTTCATCTATCCAGCCCCCTATCAGGAGCTGCATTGAAATCCCCGGCCATAATTAGAGGTATCCCATCAGGTATATGATTACGAATTGTTTGGAAAAATGTAACCCTTTCGTGCACATCATTTGGGCCATAAATATTCATTACACAGACTATCTATATTTCCAACATTACCAGAGCAACAATCCATCTCCCTTGTTCCTTATCTGCCTCCCAATACACAACTTCAGCCCTAGATTGAGGAGGAACCCAAATGGCTACCCCTCCTGAGCCGCTTCTTTGCGCATGAGAACACAGTGAGCT